ATCATGACAGTTAACTCATTTTCCATCGAGAAAAATACGACTGCCTGTTCCGAAACGTGGAAATTTTTACACCTGTTTGTAAAAGGTTTAATTGCTGCAAACGAGATACAAGTAGTTGTGGTTTTCTTTTGGGAAGATCACGAGCTAGATCATTGGGCTCTTCCTGAGATATAAAATGTGGCTGTTTGCTGCTACTACATTCTCTTCAAAACTTGGACCGGCTTCTGGCTCCCCTGTCTCAGAATTATCTATCAAATTTCTTTGGAGGCTTATGAACAGGTATGCTAGAAGAGTCACGAGGTACAGGGCTGAGGGGTTATTGGGATATATACTAAGTGACATATAAATCCGAACACCCAGTTTAAATGGTTTTATTTTAATAAAATTTTGTATAAGTACTTAATGAAGCATAATAAGTAAGTGTGCTTTAAAGCCCTTTGACCTTTAATAATGTGTGTATGCACCCTGATGTGCTACGCATTCTCCAACGCGCCTAGGCATGCTTCTGATCAGGTCGTCAATGTCCTCCTGTGGTATCTCATTCCAGGCAACCACCAACTCCTCTCGAAGTGCTTCTAGAGTCTGAGGAGGACGTTGCAAATTGAGCAATCTCCTACCCATCATATCGCACACGTGCTCAATTGGGGATAAGTCGGGAGATCTTGGTGGCCATGGTAACAATGTGACATCATTATGTTGAAAGAAGTCTACTGTGACTCTTGCAACATGTGGTCGGGCATTATCTTGTTGGAAAGTTGGATCTGCCAGGGTGTCAAGATAGGGTAAAAGATGGGGTTCTAGAACTTCGTGGATATAACGCTGCCCATTCATGTTACCTCTGATGAAGATTAAAGGTGCCCTGGAACCATAAGCTATAGTACCCCAAACCATAACTCCAACAGTGTGATGAACATGTCTTTTAACAAAAAACTGTGGATTCCTCCTTTCATCACGTCGCCTTCTAACCCTGGCACGACCATCGTGCATGCCTAAACAAAATCGAGACTCGTCACTAAAGACAATACTGTTCCATTCCTGATCCTAGAGTGACCGTTGTCTGCACCACTCAGGGCGATTACGTCGGTGTTCTCGAGTTAAAGGGAGGACCCAGTGTGGCCGGTATGAAAACTAGCCAAAACTTCTCATTCGTCGGTAAACACTTCGCATGCCAATAGGTCTTCCGTGTTCTGTAAACCATTCATTTGCAATGAACCTGGTAGTGGAGAAACGGTCCCTTAAGGCCAATAATCTTAGGCGGCGATCTTCACGGTCTGTTGTTCTACGGCGGCGCGGCGTCCAGTGCCCCTTGCTCTTTGCGTACGGCCTTCTCGAATCCATGCCTGACAACACCTAACCACAGTGTCTACACTTCTTTGCACTCTAACTGCAATTGCCCGAAAAGAAAGTCCAGCTTCCCGAAGTCCCACTATACGGCCCCTATCAAACTCGCTAAGTTGACGAAATCGTACAGGTCTCCGTACTCTAGGCATCGTAACCGATCGTAAAGGATGTCAAGAACCAAAATCCGCCAACGTTGATTCTTTACTGCGGCTGAAATATTCATTTTTAGAGCGTTAGTGAATAAAAAAAAAGCAGTATAAAAACCGGAATGTCCAACTGATAAGGCTGAAAATTTTTTCACTTGTTATTTACAGTAGGATAAATACATTCACCAACTTTTATTAAAATAAAACCATTTAAACTGGGTGTTCGGATTTATATGTCACTTAGTATACTATGTTACGCGTGCTTTTACTAGAAAACCCCAGAATTTATGTTAAGCAAAAGTAACAATCATCAACATGATTGCTAGGTTCCCGCCAAATCATTGGCAATTTAAAGGTCGATGTAAGGGTTAAATATGTACGTATAACTTATCGAAATAATGTATTTGTTTGGCGGAGAGGATTTTCCTGCGGAACAGTGTCATATTTTTATACCAATTACTGCATGGTAATATCAACTGTCCTATTTTGCTATCGCATATTGATTTCCCGTTACTTAGATTGATAACCAAATATAAAGTTTCCTTTTTCTGCAAGAAGGCATGCATTTAAAAGTGCTACGTGCTCACATCTCTGACTTCTTTTACCCTGTTTCTAGGCGTTTTCATTTGTTATATATTTATATGTGAACAATACATGATCTAGCTATACAGGGTGTCCGCAAAGTTGGGGTTTTCCTTTACACGACGTGTAGATCTTGAAAACATAAGCAATTTTTCTTAGTACCATATACACCAATGTCTTAAGGGAACCAAGATAAAGGGCTCTGCAACATCAAAAATATCTGAATACCGTCCTGTAGCCGCGACCCGCGACATCACCGAGTGGTACAAGGTCACTGGCTCAACCCGACGACAGAACTGGGTCGGGGTCAATGTGTCAGGTCAGTATGCAACCTTCAACCGACGGTTACGGTCACGCGTGCAGAGGTAATCGCGTAGACGAGAATCCCTCAACAAGCACTAGAGACGTGGCTAGAGAAGTGCAAGTATCAAAAACTAAAGTGTGGCAAACGCTGCGTGAAGAGGGGCTGTATCCGTTTCACGTCTAACGTGTGCAAGCCCTTCAATCTGACGATTTTCCAGCAAGAGTGCGGTTTTGTGAGTGGTTGTTGCATCAACATGACAATAATCCGGACTTTTTGAAGTGCATATTGGTGATAGACGAGTCTACGTTCACGCGTAATGGGGTGAATAACTTTCGCAACACTCATGTTTGGTCAGTAGAAAATCCGCACCCTGTCCGTCGGGCCCATTTTCAACAAACATTTGCGGTGAATGTTTGGGCTGTCATGGTGAACGGTATGCTCATTGGACCATTTATTCTCCCAAATCGATTGGACGGGATGCAATACCTAGACTTTTTACGCAACATTTTGCCTTCCTTGTTAGAAGATGTGCCATTAAGTGTAAGACAATCAATGTGGTTTCTGAGTCTGCTCGGTAGCGCATCAGCTGATTTCATTTTCTGTTGGAGCGGTATTATTTCGGGCAGAGACGTACTTAGCCCTTCTCGTCAACTGGAGAGTGAGTACTTTTTCCTTTATTTTTTTTACTTGGTCGCCCTCGTTTCACTACACATTACCTTTGTTATTTCAAGGGTAGTTGTTTCTGAAAAGGAAAACCCCAACTTTGCGGACACCCTAAATATTCTTGTCTCTCTACTTAAAGCGCCTTTCTCTTTTTTGTGCTTTTTTTATGAGATACAAACCATTGCTCTCTAAATGGTATCTGTACTATTGGGCAATAAATGCTTTATTATTATTATGATTATTATTCAGACTGGAGCTGTCTCAGAGCGAGAATTAGGAAAGCAGAGATAATATTGAACCGTTTGAGGTCAGCTTTATCTTTCAACTATGGAATGGTGTATACATTATAGACTAGGTAACGCTAAGCTGGTCATACCATTTACCTTATGATGCTCCGGATGAGCAATGCTCCTTGTAACATTCTGTATATGTACCGAAGATATACTAAGTGACATATAAATCCGAACACCCAGCTTAAATGGTTTTATTTTAATAAAAGTTGGTGAATGTATTTATCTTACTGTAAATAACAAGTGAAAAAATGTTCAGCCTTATCAGTTGGACATTCCGGTTTTTATACTGCTTTTTTTTAATTCACTAACGCTCTAAAAATGAATATTTCAGCCGCAGTAAAGAATCAACGTTGGTGGATTTTGGTTCTTGACATCCTTTACGATCGGTTACGATGCCTAGAGTACGGAGACCTGTACGATTTCGTCAACTTAGTGAGTTTGATAGGGGCCGTATAGTGGGACTTCGGGAAGCTGGACTTTCTTTTCGGGCAATTGCAGTTAGAGTGCAAAGAAGTGTAGACACTGTGATTAGGTGTTATCAGGCATGGCTTCGAGAAGGCCGTACGCAAAGAGCAAATGGCACTGGACGCCGCCGTAGAACAACAGACCGAGAAGATCGCCGCCTAAGATTATTGGCCTTAAGGGACCGTTTCTCCACTACCAGGTCCATTGCAAATGAATGGTTTGCAGAACACGGAAGACCTATTGGCATGCGAAGTGTTTACCGACGAATGAGAAGTTTTGGCTTGTTTTCATACCGGCCACACTGGGTCCTCCCTTTAACTCGAGAACACCGACGTAATCGCCTTGAGTGGTGCAGACAACGGTCGCTCTGGGATCAGGAATGGAACAGTATTGTCTTTAGTGCCGAGTCTCGATTTTGTTTAGGCATGCACGATGGTCGTGCCAGGGTTAGAAGGCGACGTGGTGAAAGGAGGAATCCACAGTTTTTTGTTGAAAGACATGTTCATCACACTGTTGGAGTAATGGTTTGGGGTGCTATAGCTTATGGTTCCAGGTCACCTTTAATCTTCATCAGGGGTAACATGAACGCGCAGCGTTATATCAACGAAGTTCTGGAACCCCATCTTTTACCCTATCTTGACACCCTGGCAGATCCAACTTTCCAACAAGATAATGCCCGACCACATGTTGCAAGAGTCACAATAGACTTCTTTCTACATAATGATGTCACATTGTTACCATGGCCACCAAGATCTCCCGACTTATCCCCAATTGAGCACGTGTGGGATATTATGGGTAGGAGATTGCTCAATTTGCAACGTCCTCCTCAGACTCTAGAAGCACTTCGAGAGGAGTTGGTGGTTGCCTGGAATGAAATACCACAGGAGGACATTGACCACCTGATCAGAAGCATGCCTGGGCGCGTTGGAGAATGCGTAGCACATCAGGGTGCATCCACACATTATTAAAGGTCAAAGGGCTTTAAAGCAGTGCAATCATTTTGAAATTTTTATCATTTACTTATTATGCTCATTAAGTACTTATACAAAATTTTATTAAAATAAAACCATTTAAACTGGGTGTTCGGATTTATATGTCACTTAGTATATGTTTATGAAATATGGCGAAAATAAAGATTCATTATTTAGAATCAAAGTAATGTGAAACTTTTGACTATAGCATTTTTTTTTTGTAATATTTACATACCTCGGTGTGGTGGTGTTCCTGGGTTTCAGTATCCTCGGTAGTATTTGTCGTGACCATTGGTCCGGAATCCTCGACAACTTTTCCATCTTCTAATACTACTTGTCTCTTCACCCTTGTTTCGATTTGCTTGGTGTTTGTCACTTCAGTTTTTTTCTTGCTCACCCATTCCTCTGTAATTACATTTGAATTAAATAAGCTGGTGCAAGATGACAGAAATTTTAGTAATAACTATCGGAAGAGAGACTATTATAGAAGAAACAGCATTGGAATTATTTTCAGGTTCCTGAGCTAATCGCAATAAATGGTCTCAAAAATCAAAACTTCGTTTATGTTTTGCAAAATGTTAAATTTTACTGTGTATTATTTAGAAGAAATGCATTGTAAGCGAGAGGCTCCAGGAATGCATAGAGCATGCATTTCGAGCATCAAAAACATTTCCTTTTTACGAGGGATGTCTTTTAAGTTTTGCATATAGAAACATAGTAGGCCGCGCGGATCGAACGTCAGTACTGAATCTTAACTTCACTCTTTAGTAAACTTATATTCAAAGTTTCACAACAATACGTGCAGTGTTCTCACTACAGTGAATTCTTAAGTGTCACCAAGTCATTAGAAAAATGGAACTCAACCGAGAACATTTTCGCGCCATAATTTATTACAACTTTTTCATAAAAAATCATAGCAATGCATTTAAGCGTTTTCAGAAAAATATCCATTTCCGTTCTGTTCTGCCGGAGCGTAAAAAAGCGGCAAACTAACAAAACTTCAAATATTACATTTGTAGCCCAAGAGTATCTCTTATCAACTAGCCTAAGTTTGTTAAAATCGGCTCAGCCGTTTCGAAGATACAGGGTGTTTCTTTTTCGGAAACTTTTATATTTTTAGAGATACAGCAAAAATTGTCAAACAAAAATGATTCGGATTACCTGTATCCTCGAATTTAAAGATTATACTCTAGGCGCTGAAGAAAGAAACTAAACCCAAACAAATACACGCATATTGCTCGTGAGTGAGTGTTTAGGCGCAGGAGACATTACAGGACCGCATCAAGATATTATGGGTAGTCATCAAAAATTTCATACAAGATAATTATTATCTTTTACAGTAAATTTCAGTTAGAGATTCACAAATGAGTTAACTACACTTTTTAGTTATTAGTAAGTAAGCTGCGCGCACTCATTCAGAAGAGGAACTTGAATCTTCTGAATCGTTTAAATGAATTATTAGAGGTTCAATTTGGGTATCGATGACATTGTCCAAATCCCACATTTTGACCGTGGCGGATACAGTTTTTCCATTCCTCTGCCGTAACTCTATCGACTGCGATGTGAAAGAGATTTTTAACATCAGAAAATTTATATATATATATATATATATATATAAGTATTATTATTCGACGCCACGTATTGCTTTATGTTGGCCCAAATCAGCTCAATAGGGTTCAGCTCACAATGGTAGGGTGGCAGTCTCAAGACAGTTTTATTTTGTTTTTTGGCCATTTCGTCGATCATTTTAAAATCGTATTTGTATTTATGTCTATTGACTATACCTATCAATTCACCCTTGACCATTGTTTCATCAAAATAGATCTGTTTTGAGGCCTGCCATTGTTGTATGTTTGCTTTTTTAGTTGCCATTGTGGGAATTTTTTCTATTTTTCTAGAATGGTACGGGGCATTATCCAGTACAATAACAGCGTTATTCTCCAGCTTTAGTAACATTTTGGAGAACCAATTTTCAAAGGAATTGAAGTCCATCTCCTCATGATAGTCCCCTGTCTTTTTTGATTCAAAGGCCCACAGTGCTTCGGGAACAAAGCCGTCTTCACTACCTACGTGACAAATGATCAGCCGTTTGCCTTTTCCTGGAAATAAATTATTCCTTACACTATGGATTGATTAAATTTGAAGGAATGAGGCAATTGAGTTCATTTAGCTGAATTTAAGAGTCACGGAATGCTGATCAAAAACTGAAAAACGTAGAAAATTGAAGTTTGCAACTTCTCAAAACCCATTCAAAGCAAATTGACTGCACCCAAAAATGATAATAAATTTCAAAATAACGCTTAAAAGAGGGTCGAAGTTTTTTTCCTAATAACTACACTGCGAATGCACCATTTTTGGAGAATATCACACATTATCTGCTATCACAGCATATTATTTGCCCGAATTTATCAAAATTAAATTGCCGGATAGATGAAGGAGCTTACCTGCAGGATTTTTCAATCCAGCCGAAAGACCGACAAGAAAAGCCTGCCTTGATGATGTTACTGATTTGTCGACCCAAACTTTCGCTTGAGTATGTCCAGCATTCACCCACGTTTCGTCCAAATAGTAAATTTTTCTTTTTTCATCGCGAAACTTCCGAATCTTCCTAAGGTATTCCCTTCTCCACACAACAATTTCTTCTTTCTCTATTAACATACTGTTTCTTCCCCGTTTCAAGAATCGAAAGTTAAGTTCCTTCAAAAGTTTTCGGAATGTGGTTCTTTTAAATGATGGAAGATCCTCATCAGCATTAACTAATCTTAATATCATATCTACTGTAGGTATCTCATTTCGGAAGAAAAAATTATGCACTTTCCTCGTGATGGCAGTTCTGTCAAAGTCATCTACTCCGTCCGTTATCCTTTTTCTTGCAGGATACGGTTTTGGCTCAGAAAGTGAGTGAGTGCTCCTATATTCCTTAATGATCCTATAAACACTGGACCGACATACTCCAGAAATATGTGCTACCTTACATATAACTTCGTCCACGACCAAATCGGGTTTTTCTTGAATTTGGTTTTTGTATATATTTAATATTATTTGTTCTTCATTTGCACTTAAATGTAGCTTCTTAGCCCTTTTTTTGGGTGGGGTTGCGCTGATGTCAACCACTTCGTCGGCTGTATCTGTGTCAGACATCGTATCTTAGGCAATATATAAACAAAACGTTCCACTCGCGAAAAACGAGTATACGCTACTGAATGCGTAATGCGTATGCAATGCAATCCTGTGCGTGAATTAACTGTTAGATGCCTGTCGTGTCATCTACAATCACGTTTACAAGTCCAAACCTGTGCAGATTCGTAGAGCGCCGACGACTGCTAGTGACCTTGAATTTGTCTGTAGATCGATGTTACTCCAGTCAATTTAGGTTCAAAGTGGATGTTTTCTAAACCAATTTGTTGTTCCTACATCAAAAATATATCGATGATGTTTTGTACTGGGAGCTCATGAAAGATCAAGGTAACTTATTTTAACAGTCATCCTTTTTCTAGTCTCAAGATGACACGAAAAAGGGTCTGTGGATTCACTAGAAATACACTGCCGAGGATGTTTAGACCTAAAGTGACTGGAGTATATCCGTGGATGCTTTCGAGGGATCTGTTCACGTGCTGATCACTGTTTACGTTTAATGTCTTTCTTCAGCGCCCAGAGTTTAGGTCTTTTATTGTTAGGTTAATATAGCGGAATTCACTGAAACATCACTTTTTTTAGATTCAACATTGCAGTAGCAAAAACTTGAAAATATTTTCCAGCTGTTTCTCTTGGCCGAAGTTATTAATCACAGGGTTCCCTACTCATACGACTTCATTAGAATAAATTTAACCTGTAGTAAAGGTATGTACATTGACATTTCCACAGAAGTGAGTAAACAAATAAGGTATCGTACACATTACGCTCCCAGCAGTGCACGACAGAAACATAATGATTTGTAAAGCAACTTGTAACTGATTTGCGTTTCTGGTGTGGTGTAAGCGCAAGAACTAATTTCCACCTTATCTGAATTTCACACCGTCGGCGTCGGTGCCGCTGCACCAGTTCGCACTTAACACTTTCTTCCTGTTACGTACTTGTATGCCTAATTATGCGGCTTGCTCCTTCATTTTAATGGCCCGTGGCGGTAAGGTATGCAAGCGCATGCTTGAGGATAATGCTTTTATACAGGGCGTGCATGTAAATCGTTGCTGACTCTAACAAAGTAGCCCGCCACAATTAGACGGTGGTAGTGGTCTTCATTTCGCTACTCTTACACTTAACCAATCAGTTAGTGATTGGTAACACAATACAGAAATGTATGCTACCTTAATGGGAAAAACAGACAAGAACAAGATCAGAAGATGCGTAAATCAAGAATTACAATTCATCATATACATATACAGGGTGTTTCAGTTTATTGTTGCATAACTTTAAGATTCGATAGAACTTTTAAAATTAATGCATAAAGTCTATATAAACATGGGTCGAAAAATGCGTGGCTTCCGAAATACATGGTGTTTAAATTTACTTTCTAAAATAGTTTTTTTAAATATTTCGAACAGTATTTGATGTATAACAGTGAAAATTGGTACACAAGGTTTTTTTGGTACGACAAAACGAACCATGGGCATAGTTTTACTGTAGACACTAGAGGGCGCTCTCTACTGTACCTGTAGTGCATTAAAATGACCTAATTTTTTTTCTTAGCACAAGTTTTTGCTTTTTGAATAAAAAAACTGATTCTTCGCACTTTTAACATAAAAAAGCTCTCTTGTGAGTTTTCGTTATAGTTAGCCGTTTTTGAGACATTTCGATTTTTAAGGTTCGATGCATTTTTAATTATTTATGATAAAATAACGTTAAAAAGTTAGTATCTCGATATTTTTTTAAAGTAGGCTATGCCTGCAAATATTTTTGAAATTGAAAGCAGAATAAGGTTAAACGTCAATTAGTTGACAGTTAGTTTTGTTGTCTGTTGAAACCTGAAACGTTTTTTTGCAATTGTGAATGCACGGAATTTAGTTCCTTTTACCTGTTTTTTTTTTTGTAAGTTTTATAAAAATGCCATTTTTATTCTCCAATCAAGAGTTAGCGGATATTCATTTTGTGCATGGCTTTGTAAATGGAAACGCAGCAGATGCAGCCAGATAATACGCACGAAGATTTCCAAGAAGACGACATCCAACCCGCTCAGTATTTGTAAGAGTGCATCGCCAAATAATCGAAAATGATTTTGGAAATCTCCAAAAGGATCAAAACATAAATGTTCGTCAGCGCAGATTTACCAGTATGATTCTGCGTGAGTTTGATAGAGATCCGACCACAAGTGTTAGGAGAGTTTCTGGTGCCTTGGGAATTTCAGCAAGCCATGTTCACCGTGTTCTTAGAAATGACCATAGACGTCCTTACCATTTGCAACCTGTGCA